GGCTCTAGTTACTAGCACAACATACAACACTATAGATTATGCATAAAATTCAATTAAATAAATAAAATCTGTGAGGTATTTACTTTTTCTCTCTGACCTTCCCCTGTTGACAAACTTCTATGCCTTTTCACCTGTTAAAAGTAGAAAGCTAAAGATTAAATGCTGTGCTCTCATGGCACACGCAGTTGGATCTGAGCACCAGCTGTGACAGTAATGAGCTTTCCACTGATTTCATTCCAAACTAGCACAAATTACTTTTTTTTCTCTTTGCCTGCAACAAGTATCTTCTTCAGACAAGAAAAACGAATTGCCTTTTCTGTATTTCTACCTTATACTACCAACACTCACATGTTTATATGCTATAAACTGAATTTAGAGTAACAATGAAGCACAGAGTTGACTAAGTTTCCCATCAGACTGAGAACATCAAAGGTGTGAAATGCCTATGGGAGAGTATCTKTCCTTTGAGGAGACCAGGATTTATTTTTTCCTTAATCCCTGGGTAATGTTTAGAAGTGAAAGCAAWAAAATAAACAAAACAAGACAATATCTCAGTTGTTTGGGGAATGCAGAAAACCATGGAAACCTTTCAGCTTTCAGTTTTAAGGTTCTGCATCAGGTTTTGTGGAGTAAAGTTGGGATGTGCGTGCAAYAGAACACAGCACTGAGGTCTCTTAACAGAGGACAGATTGAGGAGGAAACAAGGTMAAATGAAGATTAATGGCAAGACATTTATTTAAAGGAATATGCARAATTTCTACATGTCTTCAGGCTATGTAGAATTTAACATAAAAGTTATCTCCAAAATCATATCTTCTGCCAACAAAACCACAGAGCTCGCTTCTAAACAAATGACATACACAGATAGTCTGCAAAATCCATGCCATTAGTTTGGAAGACTAATTTGCTAAAATAAGTGGCATGTGCAGTAGCCTGCATTTGTCTTTAGTAGTTTTGAGAAAAAATATTAAAGAACTTGAATTTCTAATCCMCTGGAAGCTGATATTTTATCAATTTTGTTTCATTCTGATAAGGGTAAAAAAAAGTTTAAAAGATTTTACAGCATGAGACATTTAGGAAGAAAAGTTTCTGTATGTATAAAGGCTCTTTTTTTTCTCCCCTATGCAGCTAATTATTTTGAAATTCCTGGAATGAAACATTTGGCCTCAGTTCATTGATTAATAATGAAATATTTTTAAATGAGCAGACACTCCTTTTTGTATCTGTGTGTTTCAGATGTTTCTCCATGGCATCTCATTGCAGTTACATTTCTAAGCCTGTTGTCCTTGTGTTCTGTTTGTGAGCCCTTTTCCTTGCTCAGGGCAGAATTGCTGCTGCTTCATGAACAGACTCGATTTCAAAATCCTTGAAAGGTCAGGACTGCCTTGATGTTACTGAATTATGGAACTGCAAAAGTCTACCTTTCTATCATATCATAATCAGAGCTTACAGATGCAAATGCAGCTGACYGTTTTATGGGAAAAATGTGGAAATGCTCACAAATATTAAGAGAAATACAATAGCAATATTTGCCATAGTTGATASTCACAAAATAAAAATGCATAAGCAAAATTATTTGGAAATGTAAAGTGTCTCTGCAATCGTTGCATTATACGTGATATAAATACGGAGCTTTTTGACATGGGAATGATGAATTTTTCACTCTGTTTCCTATGTTACTCTTTATCTTTCCTAAAATCTCCCTGATTTAAGCAGGTAGGTTAACATGGCCATAACTACAGCAATGAAAGCAATGGAGGGTGTGCATCAGCTGATCCTGCAAGGAAAAAAAGGAATATTTAATGAATCTAATCTTTCAGTAGTCATTCATACTGCCATTGAGATRGGTACAGGAACTGCTGGGAATGCAGCTGATTTTGGTTACTAATCTCTTAAAAAAAAAATTATTTTTGTATAAAAACACAGCTCCTAAGTGCAAAACACAGTATTGAAAAAATTTCTTCTAAAGCTCAAGTTCAGTGTTTATTTTGATCCGATTACCTCTTTTGCTGTGTACACATAGGAGGGTTAATACCAAAGTATTAATAAATCTCTCTTTCACCCTGTATCTGGAAAGCCTTAAAATAGTGCTCAAGGTACATTTTAAACAACAGCCATCAAGTTACAATTTTAAGTTAAACTTAGAAAAAGATTTTCATAAAGTATCTATAAAAAAAAATTTATTAATCTACTTTATTATCACTCTGACTCTTTAGCTTAGCTTGATGTGATACACAATTAAATCAAAGAAGATACTAGATATGTTTCCAGGGTACAAACAGAGAGAAATGTGGTTTTAGAATTTCGAACTTTAGCTAGTTCAGACAGCTGACAAAAATACCCCAAACAAGAAAAACCCAAATAATCAAACAAAAAATAAATCGTGACACAAACCACAACAACAACAAAAAAAACAAACAAACAAACAAACAAACAAAAAAAAAACCCAAACCAAAAAGCCAAACTAGTACAAGATTCCAGCTTGCATTGCTGGAAGGAAATAGTGGGAAAAGCTTTCTGTGATCATGTATATAAATAGATGGTCTTTGATACTTAAGTCCTTTTTTCCTAAGAAAACCTTTGCAACTGAATTTTATCAGCAGAAGCGCAAGATCTATTTGTGGAAACCAAGTTCTAAAGAACTTWTGCAAATGTTGTGTTCTTTATAGCATCTGTGTCTCCCATGGAAGCAATGTGATATGTTCCTGTACTTTTTATGTGCAGGAAGAAGAGAAAAATCTCAAGAATTTGGCTCTATCTTTTCTAAGTCAATATGAAGCAGCTGAGTAAAAAATATAATATTATTGTTGGAGACAAGGTAAGGTAAATTAATGTCACTACCTCTGTAAAAGACAGACTTGGACTGAAGCAAAAGAGACAAACAAAAGCCATTGGGTGGATTTTAGCTTCTCTTTTGAAATGGTGAAAGCATTGTTCTCTGACCTCTGGTGTCAAAAGTTACTGCTGCATTAAGGCATGACATTCTGGAARGGAGTTCATGGATTTTGGCATGATTTTATGAGTTCTGGTCCATCAGTTATATCAGTATGTTTGTTTATTCTGCAATACCAGGCTGCAGTTTTACAGCACGGGAACTTTGTTGAAACATGCTCAGTTTCAAAGGTACCTACATTGTATATAACAATAAYATTTTCTACAAATAAGTGAACTGCTAATGCATTCAGGCAAAGAGAATACTAGCATTATTTTACCCTTTTACCATTATTTTACCCTCTGGTTGCTTGTGAAGCAGCTACAAGGAGAAAGAGCTCAAAGTTCTGTCTAATATAAACCTTCTCTATATTAGAAATTTTTGATTTTCATGTTGACTTGATATCAAAAATCATAATTGAAAAGCTTGAGACAATGGAACATTCCTGACATTATTTCATGCCTCTGATGTTATTCAATTCTGTCATTCCACTAGAAAAATGTATTTGATACACTGGATGTAATGCAAATGTAAAACAACAAAAATGGATATTGACTGAGTGAAAACAATAACCTAGTGACCTTTTGTTCTGTTTGCATTCAGAATTAGGTCATGAATCCCTCAAAG